GACGGGGAGCCAGCGGATGGTGGCGACGATGCTTAGGAGCTATCTTCTATCACCCCATTTTTTTTTTTTTTTGCTTTGAGACAATTTTTATGTTACCCGTATTTCTATATAAAGGCAATGGGTTTTGTTCATACCTTGATTCATAATCATTGATTTCCTTTCTGTTTCTCTTTTGAAAATTCCTTGGAATTTACTAAGTGCCGTCTTTCTCCTTGGAGGATTTGACGTCGAGCTTATCCCTTTGGGTCGTCATCTTAGGAAATTCCTTAGAATTTCACTAAGTGTTATGTCTTTCCTCCTTGGAGGATTTGACGTCGAGCTTATCCCTTTGGGTCGTCATCTTAGGAAATTCCTTAGAATTTCACTAAGTGTTATGTCTTTCCTCCTTGGAGGATTTGACGTCGAGCTTATCCCTTTGGGTCGTCGTCTTAGGAAATTCCTTAGACTTCCACAAGTGTTATGTCTTTCCTCCTTGGAGGATTTGACGTCGAGCTTATCCCTTTGGGTCGTCGTCTTAGGAAATTCCTTAGACTTCCATAAGTGTTATGTCTTTCCTCCTTGGAGGATTTGACGTCGAGCTTATCCCTTTGGGTCGTCGTCTTAGGAAATTCCTTAGAATTTCACTAAGTGTTATGTCTTTCCTCCTTGGAGGATTTGACGTCGAGCTTATCCCTTTGGGTTTTCTTTTAAGCCGACACGTTATTACGGGGTCAATCTATCTCACGCTGAAAACATATCAATTTACTATATTTGCAAAGAATGTGTAATAAAAAACGCATAACAACTTCATACATTTATTGGAAGTACAACCTTAGTTGCTCAGCATTCCATGGGTGTTGAACCTTTTTGCCGTCGAGGTTTTCTAATACGTAAGTGCCAGGTCGTAGCACTCTCCTTATGCGATAGGGTCCTTCCCAAGTTGGGTCCAAGGGACCAGTATTCTTGGGTTTTGTGCTTTGTGTCACCCTTTTTAATACTAGGTCTCCTGGGGTGAACCTTCTTTGCCAGACTTTCTTATTATAATATCGTGCCGTCTGTTGCTGATAAGCGGCGAGACGTAATTGGGAGTTGAGTCGCTCTTCTTCCAATAATCGAGTTCTCCGTTCATGCCCTCCGTGTTATCCTCGTCGTTGTGGACAACAGTTCTTAAGGTCAGCGTTTCGATTTCTATGGGGGGTACCGCCTCGACGCCGTATGCCATGGAGAAAGGTGTTTCTCCTGTCGTAGTTCGGCTTGTTGTTCTATATGCCCATAAAACCTTGGGAAGCTCCTCGGCCCATCTCCCTTTTAGGTCATCGAGTCTCTTCTTTAGGGTATACTTGAGAATTTTATTGATGGCCTTGACTTGCCCATTTGACTGTGGATGGATTGGCGCCGAGAAGTCTTTTCAGATGCCCAAACCGTCGCAAAATCTGCGTGTCGCGCACGTTGTCGAACTGCTTCCCATTGTCGAACACTATCGAGTGAGGAACCCCAAACCTGCATACGATGTGATCCCACATGAATTTGGTGCAGGTTGCTTCCGTGGTAGTGGTTAGGGCCTTGGCCTCTGCCCACTTCGTGTAGTAGTCTACCGCAACGATCGTGAATTTCAACCCCCCAGGTGCAGGATGCAATGGCCCGATCAGGTCAATCCCCCACTTGGCGAAGGGCCATGGACTGAGAATGGAAGTTAGCTTTTTCGGGGGTGCCCTAGGAATTGTGGCATACCTTTCGCATTTATCGCATCGTCGGGCGTACTGGAAAGCATCCTTTTTAAGCGTGGGCCAGTAGTATCCTTGCCTCAAAACCTTTAGCGCTAAAGATTGTCCCCCGGAATGATTGCCACAGATCCCTTCATGTATTTCTTGGAGGATCTTCTGGGCTTCGGCATCATCTAGGCACCGTTGTAGAGGTGTTGAGTAGCCTCGTCGATAGAGCAGGCCATCATATAATAAGTACCTGGCGGCTCTATACCTAATCCGTCGGGCCTCGTTTTTGCTATTCGGCAACTGAGCGTCCATTAGGTATCGTATGAGTGGTGTCATCCAATTTTCTCCCTCTTGGACACTAAATGCCTCAGCGCGCTCCTCGATGGTCGGCCGTTCCAATTCTTCAATGGGGACAACGCCTAGTGTGTCGGCATCCTTTGATGAAGCCAGCTTTGCCAGTGCATCCGCGTTTGCATTTTCGGCTCGCGGGATCTGGAGTACCTCGTAGTTTTTGTATTTAACGAGCTCCTCTTTTACCTTTCTTAGATATGCCCCCATTCTTTCACCGCGCGCTTGATATTCCTCCTTTATTTGCGCAACGACTAGCTGGGAGTCGCTGTAGACGCTGATTCTCTCGACCTTTAAGTGGTTTGCTAAACAGAGTCCGGCAATTAGGGCTTCATATTCTGCCTCATTATTTGATGCTCTAAATTTGAACCGTACCGCCGAGGTAATCTTATGGCCTTCGGGGCTAATTAGTAAGATGCCGGCTCCTGATCCATTTTCGCTCGACGCCCCATCCACGTAAAGCTTCCATCTTGCAATCTCAGTTTCTTCAGATGGGGTGTAGGTTGGCCTGTGAGAGAATTCAGCTAGAAAGTCGGCGACCGCTTGACCTTTAATAGCGGTTCTCGGCATGTATTTTATATCAAACTGGCTCAGTTCTACCGACCATTTGAGGAGTCGTCCGGATGTTTCCGGCTTTTGTAAGGCCTGTCTCAATGGGTGGTTTATGGGAACTCGTATCGTGTGGGATTGGAAGTAGTGCCGAAGCTTTCTCGAAGCTATCATCAAGGCGAGGGCTAGCGTTCCATTTCGCTATATCTCGACTCGGCGTCGAGGAGTCTTTTACTCACATAGTAGATCGGCAATTGTACCTTTCCTTCTTCCTTTATTAGTACGGAGCTCACGGCGTGTTGGGACATTCAAAGTGTTTGTTTCCTCTCAAAGCGTCGAAGAAAGGGACACACTTGTCAGTGGCTTTCGATATAAATCTATTTAAGGCGGTGACACAACCTGTCAATCTTTGCACCTCTTTTGGCTTTGTTGGTGACCGCATATCTTGCAGAGCTTTGATCTTCTCAGGGTTGGCCTCAATTCCGCAGCTACTGACCATAAACCCGAGAAACTTTCCCGACCCGACTCCGAAGGCGCATTTCTGGGGATTAAGTTTCATGC